ACCTTTATCTTTTCACTTCAGGATCTTGTCTAGTTCCTCCCTAGCTGCCCGTCCAAGTCCTAGTATTCTTCTGATTTTTCGACTGCAGTCTCTGCTCTGCTTGATGATTGAGCCCAAGTATAGAAAATCTTGACTTATTTCAATCTCTTCATTGTCTACTTTAAAATTATGTTGGTTGACTGTAGTTATTTTTATTTTCCTGATGTTCAACTGTAAACCTGCCTTTGTGCTTTCTGTTTTAACCTTCTTCAATAATATCTCTGATATTTTCTGCTAGTATTATGGTGTCACTTCAATTTTCACACCTTCATCCTCTGAGTCCAATCTTGCTTTTCATGTGATGTTCTCAGCATTCAAATTACATAGATAGGATGATGGAATGCAGCCTTGCCTGACATCCTTTCCAGCTGGAAACCATTCATTTTGTCCTGACAGTAGCCTCTTGTCCTGATTACACATCAGGACTATCAGATGTTGCAGCACACCCATTTCTTTAAGAGTGATCATAGTTTCTTGTGAGCTATACAATCAAATGCTAAATGCTTTGCTAGAGTCTATAAAGCACAGGCTGATCTTCTTTTAAAATTCCTTAGTATGTCACGATGAGTCCAGCTTGGCTCAAAGACAGCTAACAAGAATAACAATATATTCCATTATCTAACATATGTTTGCTATACGACCCCTAGTGCTCCTTCCTTTCCTGAACCTCACTTGGACATGTGGCAATTCTTGCTCCAACAAAGAGTCTTTGTTGTAGATTTTTAAGCATCACCTTACTTACATGAGAATTAATTTAATAATGCAATGGTTCTGTGATTGCTGCATTTCCTGGTGTCTCCTTTTTTGGAACTGGAATAAATACTGAGTGTATATAGTCTCAAGTGTATTATTTCCCGTTTGAAACAATTAGTTTTATCTTCAACTATTGTTAAAGTCACTCTTTCTCTCCACAGTGGGAACAAGGCCACTGGATACCTCTATTAATTCTCAATAACAGTGTGAGCTTAATAAAATTATCTGTATAATTACAGAAAGTGTTCAAGACCCACCGATTTAAAGTTGGGAATGTATGAGGTCAAACTTTCAGTACATAATGTTTGGAATCATTACTCTTCTCTCTGCAGTTGATAGAATATAAAATATAAAATCACCAATATTAAATGAACAGAATGCAGTTCTTAGCAGAATGTATTTCATAAGACAAAAAGAAATCAACCATCTGAGATCACCACTTCAATTGACTTCAATTTTGCTGATTGCCTGTTTTTATCGCTCATCAAATAAATAAATAAAAATCATCTTATAACAAGCAGAACACTACTGAATGCTTGTTTAAGTCCTTAATCCAATTCTAGATTGTTCATCCACAAAACCTTTAAAAAGGCATATATTTCTATTGTTCAAGTCTAACAAACCCAAGCAAACTTATCAGAGATATTTGCCCTTTAGAAAGAATAAAAGTTGTATCAATGTTATTACTGTCACACTGTGTTGAGAAAACAAAATTTAACCAGAAATAAAATTTGCTTTAGCCTATATGCAGCACTTAAAATGCCAATTATACAATCACTGTACATTAATTAGCTTTCATTTATGGAAGACAGCAAGGTTTTGCATTGAAGATAATAAACACACCATCATTTCCATCATCAGACTTTTGGGATTGGCTAAAAAGAGTTTAGAAATAGTCTGTCACTTCAGGCTTTACGTACTAAATTTTTAATTTACACAAAATACTACATTAAAATACTACTAAAGCAACCAAAGACAGCATATGCAGACTTGAAAAGAAGTTTTCACACTTGGATAGATTATCAAATGCAGTTTCTGACATGTAAACTGAATTTCATTTTCTCTTCTTTTGTTCCTCATTATTTTCTTTGCCACTCTAGCTGATCAAAGTGGTTGGTTGAAGTTTATGTTTGCTACCTTCAATTTGTCTTATTCTTCCTGCTGTGAACTAGCTAGCTGAGACTCTGCAATCATTCTTAATACTATAAACTAATACCAAAAACAAGGGATTAGATCTTCAGTGCAGGATTAGGCACACACAGAAGTGATGGAGAGAGAGAATGCATTCAAGAATGTACTAAACATTACCGAGGACGTGGACAAGCTGCTTGGTAAGGTGAGGAAGACGACTTGCCCTCACGACCCTTGCCCATCATGGCTGGCCATCCAGGGAGGGGATGCATTGATGAGATTCCTTATGGATATCATCAATGCGTCCTTCAGGGAAGGACATGTTCCAGCATGTTTAAAGGAAGCAGCAGTTAGGCCGCTCCTGAAAAAGCCTTCCCTAGACCCCCTGGATATAAAGAACTATAGGCCGGTGTCATTGCTGCCATTTTTGAGCAAGGTGATCGAGAGGGCGGTTGCTCTTCAACTCCAGGCAGTCTTGGATGAAACCGATTATCTAGACCCATTTCAAACCGGCTTCAGGACAGGCTTTTGGGTGGAGACTGTCACGGTTGCCTTGACCGACGATCTGCGTCTGAGCATCGACAGGGGTAG